TTTTTTTTTTTTTTTTTCTTCCTCCAGACGGGTTGAACCAAAAATTTCAAATGCGCTTTCATCACTCCATCAGCCCTGCAGCCGCTAATTTTCAGCCCAGTGGTATTTGGCCTTTTCTACCCCGTTTCCCTTCATTAAGAATTGTTGATTCAATGAAGAGTGGATGGATCTCAAGTCTGTTCATTTTTTTTTTTAGGCTTGCTACTTCTTTTGTCCTCCATGTATCCAGTTTCCTTAATAATGCCAAGATACTCGCATACAAGTTACGTGAATCCACAACAGTAGTTCATCCTTGAGTCGAGTAACTTTTTTTTCATATACTTGAATGTATCATAGGTCAGTGTTAAAGGGCTTAACAAAACAAAAATTCCTCTGAAAATGGTCAGGTACAAGGACTAGACAGAAGACAAGAGAAAAGGAGGCTTTAAATGGTTTAATGAAAAACTTTGAAAGGCCTTCAGAAAGCCTGGAGAGCACTATTGATCAAAACAAATTTTTAAAAATTACTCCTGCTTCTTGGAGGAAAAAGATAAAGACATGACTCAAGATTTTTGCACAGTAGAATACAATTGGATCTAATATCTACCAGGATCGTTCAATTTTAAAGTAAAATACCATTTCAAGGCCCCTTACTTTATTTGAAAGTCACCAAGAGCAGTTCACATTTCTGTCCTCCTCTCATTTGTAGCAGGCACTAGCAAACTGTTGTGTCCAGTAAGACAGTGAAGTTTCTGCTTCTATAATTTCTCGATGTATTTTTCCCGTATGGCGTAATCCCTGTTGGAAGCAAGCACTTCCAGTCACACAGAAGAACAGAGATATGGGTAAATTTCAGTCACCTTGATTACCCCTAGTGACAAAAATGGAGGTTAGCAGGAAAACAATTCAAGTGCTCGTCATTCAGATGAGAAGGCTGTTATAGGAAGTCACAAAGCATTATTCCAGCGCTTGTGACGCTGCCAAACTTTGGTTTTTGTTTTTTGTTTTTTTTCTCTCTCAAAGAAATAAGCGTGATTGTCTTGTCTTTGGAGCTGAACACAGATTGAGTGTGATGTGTCATACACTATTACAGCGTGCTGAAGATGCATCACTTCTTTGATCCTTAGTTTCCTCAAAAAAAAAGATACTTGCTCAAAGTTATCAAACACTCACACGACAATGTTTTTGCGTGATTCGTTATGAATATTAATGCAGAAAATGAGTCCTTAAAAAAACTGAATTTATACGAGGGGTATGCTTTCTCTTTTTTTAAAAGAAGGAAGAAGCAGGTGTTGTGATTGAAGCAGGCTTTGTAGAAGGGCTTCACATTAACATCAGCTCATTCTTTGCTTCGATTTGTTCACACGTCGCAAGGGAGCACAGCTATTTTCTTGCAGGCTTTCGACAGACGTGTTTGGAGAAGGAAAATTTCTCAAGGGTGGAAAATTTGTATTTTTTTTTTTGTCTCGTTTGGTAATAGCTGAATACATTTTGTAGATAGACTGCAATAATGGATGTGTCAAAACAGAACAAAAAGGAATTGTGTAGTGAGGAAAACGCTTCACCTGGAGGACGCAGCATGCCGACTCCCCAGTCCCAGGAGAGTCTGCCTGCTCCATGTGTCTTGTGTCCATGTATGTTGTTCATGTTGCACTCATAAAGTATATTTGCACATTTCAATATTTTTCTTCCTTTCCTCAGTTTCACATCAGGATTGCCTGAATGTTTAAATGTAATTAGCCATTAAGTGGAATAGTTAATATTGATGGTGCTATAGAACATTACCATAGTTCATTTTAAAGCCAAGTGTGGAAAATACTGTGAGGCCTGAGACTGAAAACTGGACTGGAGAATATAAAGTCAGCACAAGCAGCTGGTTAGCAAAGCAAAAACTGGAACTAGGAGACGTGCTCCTCCATTTGGATGTCATTTTTATACTTTAGGTTTTGTATTAATTGTTATTGAGCTTCAATATAGGGGTGAATTTGTTACCTTTCCTCCTACTTTCCTGGTTTTAATCATAAGCTGAGCTAACTGATTTCTGGCTCCAGCTACAAATTTAGCAAATAGACGTGACTTTTTAAATTCTCACCAAGACGGCGGAATAACTGTATTTCTTTTGAATGTCCAGTTATCCCTTTCAGTTAGAGTCACTATTTAAGTGTAAGCGCTTCTACTAATTTGTTACATTATTAGTGTGCGGTATTTTCAGGTGGCTTTAAGAGCACGGAGTCTTTGAAATACACACTCTTTGATGTATAAAGGAAATGTCCATTTGCTATAATAGTCTTTTCCTTAGAGGCAGTGTCAAAACCACATACCTTAGTGAGCCTGAAATAATTAAGACCAGCAGACTGAGGGGACACCCTGGAGTTCATTACTTTCAGGTTTTAGAAATGGTAATTAGGTAGTTTTTTTTTAATGTGTGGATTCTGCTTCGTCTTTCTCACTCGTTCTATTTTTCCCCCACTGCTGTCTTTCCCACTCCTTACCGTAGTGGTTTGCTTTGATGCTAAGATCAACTTTGATGACAACGCTGAGTTCCGTCAGAAAAACGTGTTTGCCATGGATGACATGACGGAGGCCGACCCCACGGAGATGGCGGCAGCAAAGTGGGACCTTAAATATATCGGACTGGATGGGAACATTGCCTGCTTTGGTAAGGAAGCTAATCTCTCCATCAGATTCGACACACCTGCCTGCACATACACCACCCAATAAAGGAGTTCTCCCAAAAGCCTACCTCTCCTGCCATGTGGCTTTAATGTGTCTCTTAAGTCGAGTAAGCGAAAAGCTCGGACACAGTTAAAACTTAGTCAAACTAACGGAAGTCTGTGCTCTCCTCCAGTCCACATTACAAGCAGCTTTCTGAAGACTCCACAAGGATTGCTGCCGTAACCAATGCGTTCTAATTAGCTATAATCCACCCAGAAAGTCTCCTGTGAGCCAGATTGTTAGCATTCTCATTAAAGGCCCCCTCTCTTGTCATAAATCAAAGCTTTTACAGTGTACAACTGCACTAACAGGTGCTCTCACTTCTTACCCCGTAGCCTCATAAACACATTAGTTGTCTGCTAACACTTCTCCTCCATTCTGCACACAAACCCCATTCTGCATCCCCAGCTCCCAGACTCTCCTAAAGTAACAACAGCTTTTAAGGCCCCGCAGCTTCCTTGAGAGCTCCGTAAGCCACCAAAGTGACAGCTGTTAAAGCGAATTTCCCTTTTATTGAGACCTCGGTTGTGGAGCTTGCCAGGACACAAGTTCAGCTTGGCTAAACCAAATTATGTAGGACATTTTTGTGCACTTGGCTCCTGCACAACTCAGCAGTGCAGAGGCACAGGCAGTTGGCTAAATGATGACATAGTCCACAGTCCAAAAGCATAGCACAACCTCTTCTAATCAACACTCTCTTCTCTGAAGTCGGGAGCTGAGTTGTAATCAAATTTTCTCTGTGTTGCTTGACTTGAATGTTTCTGATTCGAAGATTTCCAGCAGATTCACTTTTTAAGTGTGGCATTTTTTTCCCAGCTATTTGCTCGTATTTAGTGGATGACTTGGCACTGAATTCCTTTACGGGTTATTATAGTTCATGCCATTTTTCCTTCAGTGTAATGTTACTTTAATTAACTCGTGTCTGCATGTATCGCACTTTGTTCTCAGGCACGTCTGTTTCAATATCCGAATATTAGCCTTTACTTAATGTTCAAATTGTTATACTTTAGTCTAAATTATCGTTAACACAAATATGTGAAAATGCATAAAAACGAGTGCCTAATTATTACATTACATTGTCGTAACAGTGAATGGAGCTGGTTTGGCCATGGCCACGTGTGACATCATTGACCTGCATGGAGGAAAGCCAGCAAACTTCCTGGACCTGGGTGGTGGAGTCAAAGAGAAACAGGTGTATGAGGCTTTTAAGCTGCTCACTGCCGATCCAAAGGTAGGAACAAACTGTTAACAAAGAGGTCGCTTGCCTGCTTCTTGAACAGCTTGACTGTAACAGTTGAGTACATAAGCTAAATTGGTTACTGATTTTTAAAGCACAGCTTGGAAGAAAAAGCAATTTTACCACCTGTTGAATTGCGTTTGATATTGCAGTCATGTATTTTGTCACAGTACATTCATAAAGCTCTATCTGTCTGGTTAGAGCTTTGTCAGTGCAACTCATTAGTCTGGGGACCTTGGCATATGCCCATGTTTAACTTGGGAAAACAGACTCTGGAAGGCTGTGTGATTATAAGCCATCATTTCAGTTACTGTGGCATGATAAATTGGCGCTCTGTATTCTGCAGTAACTGCGCTTGTAAAGAAAGGCTAAGACGTGCGAGCGCGTGCGCTCTGAACACGCAATAACGGGCGCATATGCAGCTCAGATTTAACGCACATATAAAACTTTAAATGAAAAGCATGCGACAGAAATTCTCGCGGCTGTGACTGAGTGGCAGCTCGGGGTGTTTTACAAGTGATTCTGCTCCATGTTCGGAAAGCTAATAATTCCAAGCTAAACAACGTAAGCCTTGTAACGATACCGCAGTGCTGATTGTGTGTTGACAGTTATCACATCGCTAAATCCCTCACTGCTGTCACTCCTGTATCCCAGGAATGATCACGGGTTCGCTCTTTGGAGCGTCTCTACTTGGTTGTGTAGAATACAGAGTAGAATTAGATTGAAATTTAGTCCTCAGCTCACTTTTTTAAAAAAGCTTTCTTTAAAAAAAGCACATGCTGACTTGACTTGGCAGTAAATATTTTTGAAGAATTCGCTTTGCATCTAGTTTAAAAAGCTATCTTGCCAGCTGGAATTTCCTCAAATGACTTTCCAGGACAGGTTACTAAACAATACAGCTACAGTACGCTGTATGGCATGTGATACATAGTCTTAAAATAGTTATTCTGTATATATTACACATACCAGAAAGCTTTATTTCATCTAAAGCTCATTCGAAACACTGAAGTAGGATTTTTCATGGTAGCAGTGTTGCACACCTTTTGTTGATGAATGTTAAAAACTTGCTAACCTTAACACTCCAGCAGGTGATACATTGCCTGACTCGAAAAATCCACTGTGTGATCGATTTTGGTCTCACAAAATCAGCCCGGCAGACTGTGGAGAAAAATAAAAATGAATATGGTGGTTAAAAAAGAAATGCAATCAACGGGGGAGATTTGCTGCTCTCTTCCCCTGAGGGAGCCACATTTTTATTATTATTATACCCTTTTAAAACAAGTTGGATATCTTCAAAGGCGAGATCAGGTTTTAGTCTGTATTCACTGGCCCCCTCACCATCAAACGCTCCTCCTGTTCCTCTTTCTCTCTTCTTTTTTTTTGGCTTGGGTTGATTCCCCAAATCCAGATGGGGGAGTAGACCTGCTGCCTGTCCCTCCTGCTGCTGTGTATGGAAACGGAGACGGGAAGCTCCTCCCTAACAGGGAAAAAAATAGAGGAGGATTGACATTAAACTGGGTTGGAAGCACCATTAGCATTTCAACCAGGGGAGCTGAGAAACCTGCTCTGATCTGTGGAGGGAATGTTAATCATTTCACAATAAGAGCATGCTGCTCATTTGCATTTGGTTTCTTCTTTTTTTCCTCCCCACAAATTACTACTCCCAAATCTTTAAAAGATATATGAGTGGTAAGTAACAGTAAAATCACACCCTGGGTAAACGTGGATGGGATGAGGTGCCGAGGCAAAATTGATCGACTCGGCGCATCAGTAAATTCTGTTTTTCCTTATTTGCCTTAAACATCAAGGCTTCAGTGCTTATTTCCTTCAAATGCGCAGCCCTTTGTTTAGTATTTATTCAAAGTTTCGAGTCTCAGACAGCCTGGTCTACTTGCATTTCACATCATTATTTTTCTACTGATTTAAAAAAACAAAACTTTCGCTGCTTTCGCATAATAGTGTTGATAGAGTGCCTTATAAGAATGCTTACTTCCACTGGCACTGAATAAAATGAGTTTGGTAGCTGCTGTGAGGAAGGCCAGAAATGTTCTGTTGCATATGTGAAAATGTTTTTTATTAGGAACCACTGCAACTTTTGAGTGCCAAGATTAAAATGGTTTATGTCCTGCGAAGAAAAAAATGATAGAAGCCCATTCAACAGGAAATATTCCACTGTAATGACAGAAAGAAAAAAGAAGGGGAAAAACAGGTATTTTTGGGGTCCGTCTCTTCTTTCTGGCTTTCTTCCTCAGTTGCTTTTTCCGCTTTTGTCTCCCTCCCTCCCCTCTGTCTTCCTCGCGCTCTCTCCCTCTCAATCTCCGCTTTGATGTCTCAGGCTCATTGTGCTGAGAGGAGTGGATGCGACGCGAGTGTACCGCTGGCACTGAATAGCAGAGATGGAGCATGAGATGACAAAGGCTTCCTTTTCTTGTTTGCTCACTTCCCCAGAATCTACCCTTAAAGCATTCATTACCTTCAAATTATTATGTTGTGAATGAAAGGGGAAGAGAAAACAGATAAAATGGAGGGATACCGCATGAGAAGTGGGAACAAGACGAGAAAGAAAGTCGGAATGAAATTAATGCGAGAAAAATAAGCGAATCATAGAGCTGTATGTCACCCCCCACCCCACCCAAGTGTGTGCGTGTTCGCGTTAACTATGTGAGATGTTATGTAGCTCAGCTGGGTCTACTAGACCAATAAGGTTTGTTTGAATTTAGGCCCCCGGCTTTTTTAACAGGAACATATTTATCTTCCATGCTAAAATAAATAGCTCCACTTTCCTCACATCCACGCGTGGAACAGTTTGATGACAGAAGGGCTGAATTTATTAAGGTTTCCCTCACATCACCTGTAGGCACAGGAACAGGCAGCAAATACCAACAGCCAAATAACCTCGTTATTGCCTTGCGCCTGTGCCGTAAAGAAGGTGGCAGATGGATGTTTTGTCCAACTCAACATCCATTTTGTTCTCCGGGCTTAAGGCTGTTTTCTATCATTTTTATAGGCTAGAGTAAATGATGACATTTTCCTAAAACACACTCTTGTTGTGGCTAGATGCCTGTATCAGGGCCGCCATTATATCAACCTACTAATTGTCAAGGTGGCTTGTTTTGTGATTTATTGTGTCGCCGTTACGTAATTAATATTCTATTCAAGTAGGCCGAGCGTTTTCGTAATACTTTAACCTTTCATTCCCATATTCATGCGTCTCACTGCGAGTGCATAAAGGAGCCCTTTTCAAAGGTTTATTACAATGCGAAAAGCCCTGATCTTATCTGCGACTACGGCAAACTCTGTGTTTTCAGATGAATGAGAAAATAAGCACGTACGGCAGCCTCTCGGTAAATGAACATGTCGTGCTGACTCATGAGTGTGTGTGGGAAGCTTGGTTAACATTACACTGAGTTTGTGCATGTCATGTGTTCACAGAGTCTGCAGCAGAGAGGCAGCGCGGTGATCCTGGGGATGAACACTGAGGTTCTTTCTGTTTCTTGACCGACAGTTCCCCATTTCCATTTTACAATTTATGAAAACTACAGAATCCAAAGCAGTCCGACTTTAAAAATGAACTGGCTTTCGGTGTAGATAACGTCTTCCCCTTCCAGAATAAGGTGGTGTTGCGGTGTTGCTTGAAGGAGAGTTAAATTTTCAGTGTAAGCGAGCTGTCAGGGTTCTGCCGCCCACTCAGTTGTTTCTGCGTGTGTTCAAAGAGATGGCGATAAGGAAAGAACAAAAGTATAATGTGTTTAAAGTTGTAAATAATATAAAACTGGGAAATTACACATTTATGTATCAGATATGATAATAATGAAAACAGCTATTCCTATATTGTGACCTTAAACCTACAGGCGGTGTTTGTTTCTGCGTCTTATGACAGATTTTCTTTTTTCTTCTTTGTACATTGTTACCTTTAGGCTTTTTGCATACTGCAGTAGTTTGTCACGTCTCTGCGTTGTTTGAGGTGGAGCAGGTACGCTATGAGGTGAAAGAGGCACAGACGGGCACATTAGCATCAGTCAGCCGGGGGGACCCGCCTCTGAGGCAAAAACAAGAGTCGTGTACATATTCATTTTTTGGCGTTGCATAATCACACTGCCGATCGTGAAACATCTTTTAGCTCGCACTGGTTTGTGTGTGTGTGTGTGTGAGTGTGTGTGTGTGTGTGTGTGAGTGTGAGTGTGTGTGTGTGTGTGTGTGAGTGTGAAGGCAGTTTGAAATGCTGAGACTCACCTGTGTGTATGTAATTTCGAGTTTCTCCCTCAGAGAGCTCTCCCTCCATTCTCACTTGCTCTCTCCCTCCCTCTCGCTCTCTTTGTGTGGGATTATTATGCGTGTCGCTCCAGCCCCCCCATTGACCTCAAAGAAAACTACACACAATTTTACCTCTTTCCAGCTCAGTGACTCTGCTTTAACTCACCTGTGGTTCCCCTTTAACCACTTTCCTCGTTGTTGCAGTGACACTCCCGAGCCCTGCCGGCTCTAAGCCCCATCTCACCCTCTACAGGGAACACATCACTATTACTACCTCTCCAGCTCTGTCTTATGTTATCTGTGAAACAGTCTTTACTGGTGTTATACACCACTACTTATGTGCTGATGTATACCCAGGCATTTCCTGTCTGCTCCTGCTAGTCTGTCATTTCACTAGTTCTTCTTGTGTTTTCTGCTTCTCCTTCTCCACCTTTTTATCTCTCCTTCTTTGTGCTTCTTCTTTCTTCCCAGCAGACTTTCATCTCACTAAATCCTGTTAAAGTCAATGTGAAGAGCTTCCTTCAGTTTCATGCCTGCTAGTTAAATCCTGCAGGTGCCCAGGCACTGTTTCTCATCCCTGTATGGAGATGTCTGTACCCGTGTCCAGTGTGCTCCACATGTATGCAGACAGAGAAAAGGGAAGAGGGCTCAGGTCCAAGCCAGGTGAGCCAGAGAAATGTGTCGTGAAAAGCCCATCATCCTTTCCTCACTGAAAAGAAGGAAAAGAGCTCTGTGTTACA